TGACAGATTCCCCTTCGGGGTATTCTTGAGCCTCGGGATACCTTTTCACCTCATGAAACCAAGGTTTGTCGGCTACCTCCTCAGTATCGATCTCACAGCAGTATATCGGTTCATCCAACCTCTCAATAGTGATTCGGGGAGCTTCATTGTCCCACCTGACCTTGAACATTGACGACATAGTAGCTAGCGCGTCCGCTAACTGATTCTCTTCTCGTGGGAAATATTCAAAGGTGATCTCTTCAAAATGCGGCAGCAATGTCAGTACATGTTCTCTGTAAGGGATAAGGTTCGGGTGTTTTGTATCCCACTCGCCTTTGATCTGACTTATCACCAAAGCGGAATCCCCGAATACACTTAAGAACTTGATCCTTAGGTCAATAGCAGCTCTAAGATCCACGATACACGCTTCATACTCTGCCATGTTGTTGGTACAGTTGAAACATAATCGGACAGTGAACGGGCTTCTCTTTAAATACACTTCTTCAATTCACGGGCTTCGGAATCTCCATCAGATATTTCTTGATCCATAAGTTGAGAGTTCTATCTGTTGTGCAGTAAAATCTCCTTAAATCTTGGAACAAACAATACAAAGTTTTCTAAATTGTCTCAAGGCTTAATTTAGTAACCAATGTATAAATGGAGATACAAAACCTTGTTCCGGCTAAAATCTTCTTGACCTGCGAAATTTACAGAAGCATATCCAAAAGAAATATTTCAGAATCAAATCAAATATGTCAAGATTTAAAACAGCATTGCTTATTGTACTGCAGTACCAGATCAATATGTCATGATATTTGTCTTCGACGTCTGACTGAAAAACACATAATAGTAAAATTGTTATGACAAATGATAAAGATGATACAACATCTTATTCACCATCAACATAGAACCATGTTTAGAAACATGTTTAGCTAAAATAACCAACCATAAAAATATAGAACTAACAAATAAATAAGTAAATAAATATATATTCTTAACATAAATTTCATAACTATAAAATCTATATAAAAAAATTCAATGAATTTATTTATACAAATAAGTTGAATAACAATTTTAAATAAAATTTCAACTTCTAAACTTAACAATTTCTTGATGCTCGTAAATTAACAAAAGTTAAAAAAAAATAATTGTACGATATAATAATATCACACACTAATATAGAACATAAAAAAAATTATGCTTTATATTTATAATTTAAAATTTAAATAGAAAAATAAAAATCTATAAATAAAAGAGTTAATAACAATAATGTGACTTTTTTACTTAAAAATAATAATGAGATTTGTATTGAAAATAATGTGAAAATTAATTCCAACTTTCTTTGATACATAAACTTTTTTTCCTTTAAAATAATGAGATTCATGTTGAAAATAATATTAAAATATAATTTCATTCTTCTTTGATAAAATAATTAATTTTTTAAATAGTTTGGGTCATAAGCCCAAACCAATATATGCATTATATGCATGTCTCTCTTTATCGCGTTTGTATTATTTATTGAATTGCTTTTGTTAATTGAAAATTGATATTGTGAATTAGGGTTATGTTCTGGTTATTATTGAATATTATACTGGGAATTAGGTTAGGTTCCGGTTATTATTAATATTGATATCAAGAAATATTATCAACTGAATTTCGTGTTTGTTAGGAGCGTGCATCTGATAGAAATAGTAATATTTCTATGTTTGTAAAACAAAATAGTCTCCTACTATATCGAATTTAGGTTTAGTATTTAAGGTTAAAATGTGAGCTTGAAATGCTAGCATGTGAAATCAATTTATTTGTGACATGATTGTATAGTAAACTTGTCTCTAAGATTAGTAATTAAGGTGATATTCATTGTTGATTGGTTTGTGAGTTATGTTATCTCCTATTCAGAATGTAAGTAAAGACGCCTTCACTTGGAACCCTACTGGTAACACAACTACAACAATTGTTCTTATTGTGTGTTTTTTATAATACTTATGTTCTCAATTGACCTATTAAAACATTGTAGATCCAGATTCAGAGGTTGTGGTGTGTGCGAAAAGGACTATGAAGGATTTGAAGTTACCTCCTCCTCTTGTTACTCAGATTGCTCAGTCCATTCAAGTACACAATGTTCCTCTTGTTTTTACTTTGTAATGGCTTTGGTTAGGGAGGCAGATGAAGAGGTGGTAGAGCTGTTTCCAAGGTCAGTAGAGATAGTGTTTGGGGATGTTGGTGATCCTGCCACTGTAGAAGGCTCTAACAAAATTATATATTGTGCAACTGCCCGCTCTACTATTACGGGTGATCACTTCAGGGTTGATCATCAAGGAGTTTATAACATATCTAAAGCATTTCGGAATCACAATAATAAATTGGCTCAGTTGCGAGCTGGGAAAAGCAGCAAAAGTAAGGTTATCATTGCTAAACTCACTAAAAAAAAAGGAACAGCAGCAAAAGTAAGGTTATCATTGCTAAATTCACTAAAAAAAAAAAAGTCATCCGTCACGGTCGTCAGAAAACTGTGGTTATAGGTAAAATAACCATGGTTGTAAGCTTTGACCATGATTTAGTCACGAATAAGTGATTGTGGGTTATGCAGTCGTGGCCTAAATTATACACCACGATTTTCAAGTTTGGGTCATGTTTTCTAAACATATGTGGTTTGAATAGGTCACAATTTAGGTATCTAGGCTAAGACCGCAGTTTAGCTCGCGCCTCAATTATTAATGATGGTCAAATCTAGTCACGGTTCTTATTTAATTTATAGCATGTGATTTAGTTGCCTAAGTTTAGCCACGGTTTGTTTATGGTCACTAATTAAAAGTGTTCTTCATGGCATAAAGAACCATTTTAGATCAATATAAAATGTCTTCTAACAAAAACACTCATTTTTGTAGATATTGAATAAAAAATTAAAATCTAATTATACAAGAAAATATTAAGCCACAACGTCAAAATAATCATTAAGAAATAAATAAGTCTACATCAAGTGACACTACTGACTAATAAGTCACAAAAATATAAATAAATTTTCATATTATCATTCTTAAACAAAACCAAATTTCTCTCGAGAGAGAGTCATCCCAAATTCAAAACAAAAGTTCTAAGAGATAGATAATATAAAACACAACTTCTATTAATTAAATTCATATATCATAATATTCTTCTATCATAATATTCTTCTTCTTGATCATCTCATCCTTCTTTTTCTTCTTCCATATCTTGATGACAAGCTTCTTCGTCTCCGTTCTGCAAGAAACGTGATATATAAATTAATATAAGCAAATCATTCTAGACAAACAATAGAGTGTTTGGTTAATATATTCACAACAATTTACGGTAAAGAAAAGAATAAAAATTAATGTGTTTTAGGAAAAAAGAACCAAGACGAATTAGTGGGGTTGTCACCTCCTTGGACATTGTGCTTCTTACTGCAATTTGCAACAAATAGTGTAACAAACAAACCTTCTCCATTTCAGTTGAGCTATATTTTGGGTATTTTAATGAGTTTTAATATGCATTAAGCAAACAAACTTTTTTGGGTTTTGGATGGAGGATTTCAGTTGAAATTGATTTATATCTCTGCAATATGTGAGAGGTTATAGAACCTTACTTCAAAAAGAAGTGATTAAATCTAACAAAATAAAAAGTGTAGCAGCAACTACACACAACCAAGCTCAACAACCAACAATTATTAGTATCAATTAAAATATAAATTTAAGTTTGCAATTAAATACAATAAAAGGAAAGATTAGAAGTCAGGGATGATTTTAGACAATACCTTTATATTGAAGAGGTCAAAATCATCGAGACATTGCATATTTGGGAGGAGCGGGGAAGATTGATTCTATTGAGAACTAATTCTATTGACATTGTTTAAACTTCTCCCACAGGAAAGAAAAAAAAAAGATATCCATGAATATGCAAAGAAAAACACACTAAAGATCAAAGAAAACTTGAATCAGATACATGGAAATCGAAGAGAGGCACTAACCAATAAATTTTATGTACCTTAGGTTGGAGAAAAGGTTGTTGACAGAGACGTTGTTGCTGTCATTGAGTATGATTCGCAATCTCGCTCTGCAATAAAAGGAAAATGTTGCCATAGGCACTGCAAGGGAAGATAATTTCCCTGCAGTTACCATTCACACACAATCATGCAGTCAATGATTTATGAGAAACAATTTCGCCATCAGAAAATCTTTCAGTTGGTCCGACAGAAAAGTCAATTCCATAAGGTGCATAATTAGCTTTTGCTATAGAAGTGAGCTGATTGTTGTTACTATTATCAACCAAAGATTGTCCAAATATAAAATAACAAGATACTTGTTGTGCATTTCCAATTCCAAAACTCAAAACTAACACGAATAATACTATCCTTAATATTCATTATAGAGAGGTCTTATGTGCTACTGAAATAAGAAAATCACGTGTTTTTGGATGATATAAGTGATAGATGTATCACCGGTTAGGAATATACATGTATAACGGACTATACTTATTATTTAAACCATAAAGAGGCACGAAGTCAGTGGACTAAGCTCCTAGATATTGTGGTCATCATATTGTTATGTTAGAGAACTTTTGAAAGGTTGCAACTCACAAATACACAAAATGTCGATGTAGCACTGACACTTTTGAAAAAACGTATGTTCGTGTCGGTATTAGATACTTGCACCGACACTTGTGATTAAATTTGATTTATTATTTTATTCAAATTATTACCAGTATCTTTGTATCAGTGTCAGGGTCAAATTCGAGTGTTCATGCTTCATAGAAACATATGCATATAGACGCAAAACAGTAACAAAAGACACCCTCCCCATACAAATTGTAGATTGAAATGATCCATTTATTTTCATTAACTATTAAAGAAAGTATCAAAGAGTAGCCATAAATACCTTAGAGACAGTAAATGGCAAAGAGAGGTATACAAGGCTAATACAAGATTATTAACTCATTTTGTACCTAAAATGCTTACAAAAGTAATTCACAGTATTGTTTTCAATATAGAGCCAAGCCAAGTGATTTTAATTACTCATGTGACCAAATTGCTTATCATTGATGGATAAAGAGTTTTGACAAAAATATTTGTAACAAATTGAGTCACAATACACTATAAATCTATAAATAGCCTCAATTATAAAAGATAAACCACAATACATTATAAATCTATAAATAGCCTCAATTACCAAGACTATCAATTTATAGTCATATATTATCAACATAGTTTAGAATAGAAATGTCTAAAACCTATCTCATGAATAAGAACAAAGCAATTGAAATGGAGATGACAGTAACTGATTCTTGCAATACTATGAACAAATGAATTAAAAATTTAGAATAGAAATGTCTTAAACCTACCTCATGAATGAAAATAGATCAATTGAATGGAGTGACAATAACCGATTCCTGCAATACAATGAACAAATGAATTAAAAAATGGAAGAATAACACAAATAGTGAGACAACGATGCAAACAAAATCAAAAAACTTACAGAAGCTCCGCAAGTAGAAGGATTCCAGTTGCTCCGGAGAGAGAACCAGAGTACACTGGATCCAGAATAGCCCAGTCTTCCAAATAGATCATCTGAATAAAATAGTTTCCATTAAGAACTTATGAAAGCTAGACATGAAGTCAATGTAACCATATCCACCTTATCTACAACTGGAAGGAAATATGTCTCGAGCATATGATAAAAAGAGAAAAGTATAGATAATGAATACATTTTGGCAGAACTTCAATTTGCCAAAAATATTACTATTAAATGTTGAAAATATTAAACTTGATTTGGGCCTAAATTTATTAATTAGTTTTTGAGTTTAGTTATTTTGGGCTTAAGTAGTTTTCTAAATAATTCTTGTAATATTTGAAATCTCTAGATATTTCTTATAATTGTAATATTTTCTAGAATAGTCTTTGGATCTCTAGAGTTGAGAACTCTCTAGAATTAGTGTGTCTAGAGTTCTCCTTAGAGTACTATAAATAGAGATGTAATCCCATACATTTGATTCAAACAAAAAATACAAATTTCTTCTCCTCCATAAAGAATTATCCTACTTATCAAATTTATATTCAAACCTTCAATATTCTCACACAATTCTCCTTAACATAAAAGGTCTTATTTCCAACAAAGTGGTATCAGAGCTTCAAGATCCACAAAATAGTGAATGGTAGTTTCCCTTTTCAAATGCCGATGCTCACAAAGAACAACTATGATAATTGGAGTATCAAGATGAAGGCGCTACTAGGAGCTCAAGATGTGTGGGATATTGTTGAGAAAGGCTTCAAGGATCAAGATGAATCCTCGCTAAGCCAAGGTGTAAGAGAGACATTGAAGGAGTCAAGAAAGAGAGACAAGAAAGCTCTCTTTCTCATTTATCAATCGGTGGATGAAGATACGTTTGAGAAGATATCCAACGCAACAACGGTCAAAGAAGCATGGGACAAGCTTCAAACTTGCAACAAAGGAGTTGAGTAGGTAAAAAAGATTCGTCTTCAAACTCTTAGAGGTGACTTTGAACGTTTATTTATGGAGGAGTCTGGGTCAATTTCAGATTATTTTTTTCGAGTATTGGTTGTAGTCAATCAACTTAAGAGAAATGATGAAGATGTTGATGATGTGAAAGTCATGGAGAAAATATTTCGCACTTTAAATCCAAGTTTTGACTTCATTGTTACCAACATTGAAGAAAATAAGGATCTAAAGACCATGACTATTGAGCAACTCATGGGTTCCTTACAAGCATACGAAGAAAAATAAAAGAGAAAAATTAAACAAAAGGAGGCTATGGAGCAATTACTACAACTCAACATAAAGGAAGCAAACTATGTGAATTACAAGAGCCAAAGAGGACGAGGTCGTGGCCAATATCGTGGACGTGGACGAGGACATAGAGGAGAAGGAAGAGGCGGTTGCAATAACTATTCCAACAACTTCAACAATGGAGAAATAAGTTGGAATCCAAAAGCAACAAGAGGTCGTGGAAGAGGAACCTCATGGTCGAGGAGTAATAAATCACAAGTCAAATGTTTCAACTGCAACAAGATTGGTCATTACGCAACCGAGTGTAGATTCTCGAAGAAGGTGGAAGAGAAAGCTAATTTTGTAGAAGAAAAAGGTGGAGAAGAAGAAACTTTGCTACTCGCGTGTCAAAATGAAGTTGAAGAGAAAAGAAATAAGTGGTACTTGGACACTGGCGCAAACAACCACATGTGTGGCGATCGAAGCATGTTCGTAGAGATCAATGAAGCGACAACTGGTGATATATCATTTGGAGATGACTCAAAGATACCGGTCAAAGGAAAATGTAAAATTCTCATACGCTTGAAGAATGAGAGTCATCAATTCATATCCAATGTCTATTATGTGCCTAACATGAAGAATAATATTTTGAGTTTGGGACAATTATTAGAGAAAGGCTATGACATCCACTTCAAAGAACATAGCTTTTTCTTAAGAGATTGTAGTCATAACTTGATTGCTAAGGTGCCTATGTCAAAAAAATAGAATGTTCCTCTTGAACATTCAAAATGAGGTAGCAAAGTGTCTCAAGGCTTGCTATATCGATTCTTCATGGCTATGGCATCTACGATACGGGCACCTCAACTTCGATGGTTTAGAACGTTTGTCGAAGAAAGAGATGGTGAGAGGCTTGCCTAGGATCAACCACCCAGAACAATTTTGTGAAGGATGTCTAATTGGGAAGCAATTCTGAAAAAGTTTTCCAAAGGAATCAACGTCAAGAGCGACAAAGCCACTAGAGCTCATACACACGGATGTCTGTGGACCAATCAAACCCAACTCGTTTGGTAAGAATAAATAATTTCTCCTCTTTATTGATGATTATTCCAGAAAAATATGGGTTTATTTCTTGAAGGAGAAGTCAGAAGTATTTGACAACTTCAAGAAGTTCAAAGCCCTTGTGGAGAAAGAAAGTGGTCTTTCCATCAAGGTCATGAGATCTGACCAAGGAGGATAGTTCACTTCAAATGAGTTCAACAAATATTGTGAAGACCATGGAATCCGTCGTCCGCTGACTGTGCCAAGATTTCCTCAACAAAATGGAATAGCAGAGAGAAAGAATCGGACTATACTTAACATGGTACAAAGCATGCTCAAGAGCAAGAAGATGCTGAAGGAGTTTTGGGCCGAAGCAGTGGCATGTGCAATTTACTTGACAAATTGTTCCCCAACAAGAAGCGTGTATGAAAAGACACCCGAAGAAGCATGGAGTGGAAGGAGACTTGGGATCTCTCACCTCAAAGTATTTGGAAGCATTGCCTATACCCATGTTCCAGATGAAAGAAGAACAAAGCTTGATGATAAAAGTGAGAAGTATGTGTTTGTGGGTTATGACTCAAGCTCTAAAGGGTACAAGCTTTATAACCCAAATAGTGGAAAGATCATCATAAGTCATGACGTGGAGTTTGACGAAAAAGATTATTGGGATTGGAATGCTCAAGAAGACAAGTATTATTTTCTTCCTTACTTTGAAGAAGAAGAAGAAATGGAACAATCAATGATAGAGGAACATATTACACCACCTTCCTCACCGACACCAAGGTTGGATGAAACAAGTTCAAGTGAGAAAACACCACGACTAAGGAGCATTGAAGAGCTTTATGAGGTAACCGAAAACCAAAACGACATTAATCTTATTTGTCTTTTTGGTGATTGTGAGCCTCTAAGCTATCAAGAAGCAGTAGAAAACATAAAGTGGAGAGACGCCATGGACGAAGAAATCAAGTCTATCACAAAGAATGAATTAAAAAATGGAAGAATAACACAAATAGTGAGCAACGATGCAAACAAAATCTAAAAACTTAAAGAAGCTCCGAGAGAGAACCAGAGTACACTGGATCCAGAATAGCCCAGTCTTCCAAATAGATCATCTGAATAAAATAGTTTCCATTAAGAACTTATGAAAGCTAAACATGAAGTCAATGTAACCATATCCACCTTATCTACAACTGGAAGGAAATATGTCTCGAGCATATGATGAAAAGAGAAAAGTATAGATAATGAATACATTTTGGCAGAACTTCAATTTGCCAAAAATATTACTATTAACCTCTAGCAGAGAACAACACCGCACAAATGAGTTTTAGCTAATGTGCCCAGACATGATAAAAAATGGACAAGTAATAAAACTATCTACACAAAGCCAAGGGCCATGTAGCTAAGGATCATACTTGCTCCTTCAGGATGGATATTAGCTTGAAATGGAGCTTCAACCGCTGTAACTCTACTCTTTTGGCTATAACAGATTCATGAAGGCTTGATGTAGCTTCCCAAGCACCATAGAGGCTTTTCCGATACAAGAAAAATTATTTAGGTAAAAATATATATTTAAAAAAAATAAATAACCAAACTACCAAAATGGAAGACTAATCATATATTAATAAGTTGTATGAGCTTATAAGATCCTATATATGCATTGATCTAAACTAGAATCATAACAAAACCTATTAACTATCTTTCTTTTATCATCCCAATCAACATGACATCAAAGAGTAATTCACAAGCAATCATGACATTAATAGTAACATTTCAATACAAAACAAAATTTGGAATATGGAAAAAGAAAAGATACCTCAACGTTCAATGTTTGTACAGAGAGGGAAGCATCATCTCTAGCATTCACAAATCGTCATTGCATGAGCCTATTATGAATGAGTCTCAATGAATGTGCATCAGCTACCCTGTTCTCTCCCGTCTTCACCCTCGGAACATCAACAAGAAAACTCAAAACATAAGGCTCGTTAACAAATCTACTAATCAGACTACTAGCAATTCCATTTCTTCCTCAAGAAGGACTCACACCACGTGAAGGAGACCACACTGATGGTGAGGCTAGCTGACTCGGAGAAGCAGGACGAACAACAGAATGAATAGGAGAACCTTGTAGTCGGCTATTCACAATTCCTCGTGGAGACGATACAAAACTAGACAACAATGATTTCTTAGGAGGATCCATAGCTTTGTTTCCAATTCCACCGTTCCTAGAAGACGAAAGATCTGTTTGGCGCAAGAACCTCGTCGGCACAAGATCTGTTCTTCAGGTTCAATTTCACGTTCAGATCCGCCATTTTTGTTGCGTTTCAAGCTCAACGTAACTTCCTGAGACGCTCGAGGATCCAACAACGAATCACGCAAGTAGAAGGATTAAATGACAAAGGAGGGAGAGATATGAGATATAACGAGGATTTAGGGTTTCTTTTATTTGCGAGAGTTCTGGAAGGTATTCGAAGGGATCTAAGGGGGCAAGAAATATATTATGGAACAAGAGAGAAAACCACTGATGAGTAAAAGTGGAGAGAGAACGAAGGAAATGATTTTTTGAAAATTTTAGGGTTTCGTTGTTGAAGGAAGAAAAGAGGAGCTCGTAAAAAAGGGGGAAAGGGATAGAAGTTGCATTACAAAAATTTTGTTTTGGTTGAGAGGGAAGCATTGTGAGAAGAATTTTAGTTCTGATTGTTTTGGTAGAGAGGAAGAGTCGTACGATTTTGGTTAGGAGGGAAGAATTTTTATTTTTAGCGCTCAATAAAATTTTGTTTTTAAATCATTTTATTTTAACCAAGTGCACCATGTATTTAATTTTTTAATTTTTTTCCATTTTTTAATCTAAAAATAATTAGAAAATAATTAACGAGAGGGAAACTAAAAAAAAAAAAAAAGGAAGTTCTTGCGGGGTATATTTTTTTGGATTTAGTCCACAGTTTGAAGTGAAAATTATAATGTCACGATTTTTCTTTCTGGTTTAAAATATCTATTGTTTGTTAGCAATGACTTAAATATAAGTGTGATCTTGTAACCGTGGCAATTAAAGAAAAAGCCACAGTTTCACACTCCAGATTCAATGTTTCAAAATATATGTCTACGATTTGAAAATCGTACCAAAGTTAGTATATGGCATGATCGGTAAATTAGCAAGTGTACTAATTTACTAATGTAGTAATAATGAGGAATTCCAAAGTATCGATCTCAAGGACTGCGTATCAGTATTGAGTTCAATTAGACAAAACTTGATTTGGGGATTTGGTTGTGAAATTTTCACTTAACAAATAGCAGGAATATAAAGTGACTTTTCACTGATATGAGAAGCATGTTAGGGGTAGGTGTGTGATCTGACCATGTAATAACCTTTAATCTTGATCTCTTCAACAAGTTCATTAACTTCAACTTCTGGCCCTTTACAATATTTTTCCCTAAGTCCTTAGTGAGAAAAATTTTAACCACCATCCTAAATACTAAGTCCTTAGAGATATCTGATGGAGTCAAGACTTTATTTTATCGAGGGTTAAATATGGTAACTATAGCATATCCCTATTCCTAGGTGATATCTACTATAGTCTAATTGTACAAAAACCTTAACATTACGGTCCAGATAATTGTTAACCGTAGAACAATCCTTATTTGTTCAATAAATAAAGCATGAAAAACATTGTACAATTAAATCGAATAATAAAAACCATGTAATTGATGAAATTATAAATTCAAAGTTATTACATAATCAAATCATGGACACCCCCTAGCATTGGGGGTTTAACCTCTCACAAAATTCAAAAGAAAAGCAATAATAAAATTAGACATTACAAAAGGTATGGGTTCTTTGATCTTCAATTGCTATCGCTCATGAAGGAATATCCGTCTCAAAATCTCTTGAAAACACCAATCTTTATCGTTCATAATCTTCTCCAGTCAAAAGTTCTTCAATTCATCTTGGCAACTCCTCTAAACAGCAAAAACTCATTTAGGTCTGTTGGAAATATCCAAAACACCCTCACAGGCCAACTAATGGACCAAATAACCCGAAATACTAAAATCAGTGTTGCAATGTGTTAGGTAACACGGGTGTCCGTGTTGGACCTCTGGCAATTTAATTCTTGAATGCTTGGTTCAGGCACTCTAACACGGACCGTGTCAACTAACACGGGCACCCGTGTCACACTTTCGACTTCCCTTATTCCTGGCTCTCGTCCTGGCTATCATCCTGACACGGGTGGCCGTGCCAGGCCTCCTGTAAGTGGATATTTGTATTTCTTCCAAAACTTTGAGTTTTGCACCGATTTGTCCTGATTTATTCTTTTGAACCTGAAAACACAAGAACACAAAACCAAAGCATAAAATGCGATAAAATAAAATAAAACCTCGATAAGAAACAAAAATAATCACTAAAATAAATGCTAAATGTCTGTGTGAAAATCAATGATCAAACTCCCCTCAAACTTAAATCGTTTCTTGACCTCAAGCGACCATTACCATAACTCATGAAAAATCACAACAGACTGGTACTCATATGTGAGACATATGATCCATTTGATCAAAAAGTAGTATGTCTGATGTTCACATGACGCGAATAGTTTATTTAAGAACCTTTAAATCTCGAGCTTCCTCTTCAGATACCTCTCTATTTATGCTTTGTACTTAAGTCTCTATGCGATTTTCCTCATTTTTCATTCGGACAGTCAAATTAAGGAAATGAGAATTATGATGATCATCACATGCACAAGACGAATCAGGAATTTTTGCTTAGGCGCCAAATAAGCAGCATTGGCTACTTTTAATTACCGTTGAAATTTTCAAACTTTGTAGTTATATATTATCCTTTTGGACGACGTTTGGGATCAACCCCCTTTGGGCTGAATAACCGGTGAAGGCTACCCAAATTAGCAAGTCGGTTGCCTTTTATCGCATTTTCATCATTTGGTGCCAACTTTATTTATTTCTCAACCAATCATACCTGCATGTGAATCTAGATTATGTCAGACTGTATTGATAAACTACTCAAGAAGTACTTCTCAGGATTCAAGCACTATGGCACAAATCTACACATTAGACTCGTATCCTTGTCACGTTATTCTGAACTTCCTATCCTTCCATCCCTTTGTCTTTATATACTATTCTCAAACTCTATGAGAACCAAGTTCTTGAACAAAACAAAAAATTCCGGCAAAATTTGGGAGGGACTTCAACTCGTGGATTTACATAGCAATTAGCATAGAACTAACAAATAATTCGAAAAGAAGAAAAGCAATAACCCCCCCCCCCCCCCCCAAATTTGAACTAAACATTGACCCTAATGTTTCAGAACAAGCTCGAGGAATGTGACTCACAGAGGGGAATGCAACACATGTTGCTGACTCCTAACTTTCACCAGTAATATTCCTTTTTTATTACCTGCAGACAAAAATAAATAAAGACTAATTTATTAAAAGTGTGGGTTGCCTCCCATGAAGCGCTTCGTTTAACATCGCATGTCTTGACGGGTCATCCCCTTATGGGGGGTACTTCCTCTTCCACACCTTGTTGCTTGTCTTTTCTGCAACCCAGAACTCATTCAGGTCAAAATTGTTGACCACTTTGTACTTCTAGTCCCTTTCAACTCTCGTCTTCTCACCTTTGAGCTTCCTTTTCTTTCTCTTAACTTCTGTACTGAACTTATAAGTTTTTGTTGATACCACATGAGATCTTATGTTGGAGACATTTTATGGGGGTGATTTTAAACTTCTGATATCTCCCTCTAATTTGATCATACCAATTGAAGCTTGATTTCTTTCACTTGCACCCTGCTTTTTGATCTCCAGTCCTCATCAAATGATTTCAGTGTCAGATTACCTGTCTCAATATCAAAATTGCATTGACTAGTCAGTATAAATGGTCGACCAAGAATGATAGGAGTCTCTTCATCTTCAAGGATGTCCATGATCTGAAAATCAATTGGGAAAACAAAATTGTCAATTTCTACTAATACATCTTCAACTATCCCATATGTCTGCTTGATGGTGTGATCAACAAATTTTAATTTTGTTTCACTCTCGCTTATCTTCTCAATACCCAACTTTTTAAAAAATAGATAATGGCATCAAACTCACACTAGAACCAAAATCAATTAGAACCATCTTGAAAGTTCTGTCTTTTATGGTTCATGATATTGCAACTGACCCCGAATCCTTCTGCTTGACAAATATTTTTCTCATGGGCACAATTGAACACAGTTTCTCATCACAGGGTACCAATCCCTCTTATGTTGATCTCTTCTTTGATAACACCTCCTTCATGAATTTCCGATACAAAGACATTTTCTCGAGTGCTTCAAAGAATGGTAAATTAATCTCTAGCTTTTTGAACAACTGGACATATTTATTAAACTCTTTCTCTTTTGTGTCCTTCTTTTCCACTCGAGATGGATACGACAACTTGATTTCTGGTTTAGTTTTCTCTTCAACTGACTTCACAGGTGATACCATTTCTTCATGTTTTTTCTTTTTCTCTCTCACTTCCGGCTCAACTTCTATGATATTATCATCAAATTTTACCTCATCTTTCTTTTCTTCATCAGCTTTCTCATTCCTTGTTGTGACAACATTAACATTCTCATGATTTTTCTAATTGTCTTGTGCTCGCAGCGCTACCTGCTGTGTAATCTGTCCCATTTAGACATCCAATTTTTTTATTGCAGTTGTGGTATTCCTGCAATTACTCCTTGTCTCTTCTTGAAATTGAGAGGTGTGGGCAGCCATCTTTTCAATAGTTATCTCATACACTGCCTTTTGAGGAGCTTGTTGCTGCTGATCTTTCTAGGATAAGTTAGGATAATTCTTCCACCCAGGATTATAAGTGTTAGAATACATATTATTCTGCTTCGACAATTTTATTTTCTCAATTTATTATGGATTTTCAAGACAATGGAAAGTCATGTGTGGTCCACTATATATTTCACAACCTGGCTTGTGTGTTTGTTGAACTTGAGCTACCTGTTTAGTGCCCATGTTCATTGCTTTCGGCTTTTTCTCTACTTTTACATCAATAGCCTCTTCAATTTTTAGTTGTTTATTCACTTCCAAAATTAATCACTCACTCTGGTTTGCTTACAACTCTGACATATAGCTCCAAATGCTCATTTTCAGCAATGACTTTAATAATTTTCTTCACACCAATGGCTGTTGTAAAGTTGGATAAGCCACCGACAGCTGTATCATTAAGCTGCTTTGTCTTCATTCTGAGGCCATTCATAAACATTCTCGTTTGTTCCATTTGGTCCATATTGTTAGTTGGACAAGCTACTAACAACCTCTTGAATCTCTTATAGGCATCACACAGTGAGTCTCCTTCTTTCTGCTTAAAATTCGCAATGTCATATCTTTTGTGAATGTAAGCAAAAGTAGGAAAGTATTTGTCAAGAAAAGTCTTCTCCATCTCTTCCCAAGTATTAATACTCCCAACAGGTATTTAGTAAAACCACTCTTCAGCATCTTCAGATATAGTAAACAGAAACATTCAGAGTTTCTTTGCTTCCTCTATATGTCTATCAATCTTCATTGACCTTTCCGGTGAAAGATCTTCTCTCAAACTGATTGATTGTGCTCAAATACAGTTGAAAATTTGGCACATTCACCGGATGGTTTACAATCGTCAACTTTCCACCTGGTGCATTTCCCCCACCATAATCACCAAGAAGTCTCTCTGGTGGATCTTCAGCCATAATTTCTTCCTCTGACTCTGAAT